TGACTCGCTGATTTTATATGGATTTATCTTTTAATAGGAGTTTTGGAGATATTGATTATAACAATTATTAATTCATTCATTACACAATAGCCTCAACCTCATACAACCACAGTCAGATCTCTTGAATAGGGTTAAGGGCCTCTGCTCGAGGGCCCCTCAGTGGTGGTAATGTGCTGTTGTGTTTCTGCCGTCAGGATACAAAATGTCTTGGTTTACCGACTTGGCCGGGAAAGCGGAAGACTTCCTGAACAAAGTGGACCAGGGAGCTGCCACGGCACTGACCAAAAACCAGACAAGAACATCCTCCTTTTCGTCCTATGAAGAAGAATCGACCGTCAAACCTGAATACAACACTGCAGCGTACAAGAGCGACGCAGCGGCGACGCATCATGCCTATGCATCCTCTGATGAGGCACAGAGCTTCATCACTGCAGCAGCTGGCAACATAAAGAGATCCAGTGCAACCCTGCTGGCTGGTACCGTCAGCGTGGCCAGTATCCCCTCCGGCTCTGGCGCCAGTGGCCCCAGCTCTGCCAAGACCTCGTCTGGCTTTGTGAGGCGCAAAAAGAGCGAGCAGGATGTGGACGATGACATGCTCTTTGACTTTCTGAACAGCTCAGACCCTCCGGTCAGCAACAGGAGGGATTCAAGACGAGAACATATCAAAGTGTCAGTTCCAGTTACTGAGGCCCAAACCCCAGAACCCGCTCCTTCCACCACTCCTCATACAATCCCCTCAGCCCCGTCGACGCCCCCTTCAACCCGGGGTGTGTCCAGAGCCTCAAGCATGAGCTCACTGTCTGCTCACAGCATTAAAACGTCAGAGGAGAGCTCGGCTAAAGAGCAAAGCCAAGGTAGGAGTAAGACCCTCCATTTTATTTTAGTGTCATTTTCAGTCAGTGTGTGAAAAAAGGGTTGATTATCTAAGTCAATAATCGGTTTACATTGCCACTAAATTTGTATATTATTGTGTTATTACTACTGTTTATTATTGTCCACCACTGGATGAGCCCCAAAGGCAGCCATATTTTCTTGCCTTATTTACATAAATTGCATTCTGACATTTATATCTGAATGATAAAATTGTGTGTTCTCTCGTCACCCTCACCTGGCCACCACAGACACACCTGACAGTTCAGACTCAGGATTGGCTGTCCCTCAGGAGTCCAGCAGGCAGGAGCCTCCTCCTCCTCCCACAGAGGAGCCACAGAGCCAGATCATGTCCAGTCTGCGTCTGGAGAATCAGCTGCTGCGCAGTGAGGTGGCCTCCCTCAACCAGGAGATGGCTTCAGTCATCCAGAGAGCAAAAGACTTACAAGATGGTAAGAGATGAGACAAGATGGGAACAATCATGACCCACATATCTGCACCCATCCCTCTGTATTGATTAAGTGCTTTTCTACTCATGTAGAATTGAACCAGACGCGTCTACGTGCAGACAGATGGAACTCGGAGCAGTCTCAGACTGACCGGATGTTACGGGAACTTCGCTCACAGGTTGATGACTTGACAGAAGCCCTCTCTGCTAAAGACGGTCAACTAGCAGTCTTAAAAATCAGACTCGATGAAGCTGATCAGCTGCTGAAGTCCCGCAGTGCCGCATTAGATGAGGCACAAAAGGAGAAGTCAAGGTACATTCTTGTGACCACCTTCAGAAGTAGAGATGAGATTCTGCCTTTTATCAGTGGGTTTAGATATTATTTTTCCCTGTTGGATTTTTAGAATCATGCAAGACCACACAGAAGGGAGCAGCATGCACTCCCAAGCTCTAGAAACGATACAGGAGAGGCTGCGAGAGGCTGAAACAGCTCTCAGGAGGGAACAGGACAGCTACAGGCAGATGCAGGTGCACATGATGCAGATCTTTCTTAATATGTGACAGTTGAGTCTAGGTTGAATGCATGGAAATTATTAGACTTCTTAATTCTCTGTCCTTGTGCAGACTGAGTATGCTGGCCGCCTGTCCAAATTGGAGGCTGAGAGGCAGACCCTCGCAGGAACGGTGACTGCAGCAGAGCGGCGAGGTGGAGAGGAGAAGGTCAAGGTCGACGACCTCCAGCAGCAATTGAAAAGTGCCAAAGCTGTAGCTGAGGCTGCCAAACAGGAGTTACAAGACTACAAGCACAAAGCGTCGCGCATCCTACAAGTAAGACTTTCATTCGTAGCATCAGGATTCATTAAACTGTTACGCAATCACTGTTTTTAAACCATAGCTGTTTGTACATTTCTTTTAATTAGCTAGTTTTTGATCACATTATAAATTGTCTACTAGTCCAAAGAGAAGTTGATCAGCAGTCTGAAGGAGGGATCTGGTCTGGACACTCTGGATGGCAGCGGGGCCATGGTTCTGGAGCTGGAGGATCTGCGTCACGAGAAGGAAATGCAGAGGGAAGACATCCAAAAACTACAGGGGCAAGTGCAAACGCTTCGGACAGAAATACAGGTGAGATGCTGTAAATTAGTGTGTCGATAGAAGAAGTGTTAATTCAAAGTAATCGGATACTGTATTGATCCCTGTGTGAAAAATCCTGGTCGATTGCTGCACTGGGTCAAGTCTGTCACTGTGTCAGTGTGTATGATGTGAGGTGCTGTGTATCTACTGAAAAAACCAATGTTTCTGTTTTCTGTTTGAGTTCATTGTTTGTATATGTCTCCAGCTGAAATGTTGATTCAGCTGTGCAAATGAGATATGTTTTTCTATTTCAGGATTTGGAGAATTCGGCCATGACAGAAGCAGAGACATGGCGGGAGCAGCAGGTACAGTTAGAGGAGCAACAGGCCTTACTGAACAGAGCTAAGCAGGAGATGGAGGCTGAGGTTGAGCGCTACAAACAGGTGAGGATTTATTAATATGGCAGCTATAGAAAATTACAAACTGTCACAAATATATATTTTTCCTGACACTACATTAATATTTTTTATATGTATGATTTAACTCTGTTTTTGTATTTTTCTTAAATCATAGGAGCTGCAGTACCTAGAGGAAGAGCAACATCGAGCCAAAACCACTCTGCAGAGCAGAATCAAAGACAGAGAAGATGAAATTCAAAAACTCAGGAACCAGGTCAGTCACTATATAATTATACAGTACATCTAAATCCAGAGCCCCCTTCCTAGGTAAGGGCTGTCCTCATCTGCTTTGTGTCAAAAAGAAGCAGAGGATATGGGAAATATAAGTTCTGAATTCACCAATGCGACAAACCGCGTTAATGTTTTCTTCCAGTTGACCAACAAGACTCTCAGCAACAGCCAAACAGAGCTGGAGAATCGCCTCCACCAGCTGACAGAGACGTTGATCCAGAAGCAGACGATGCTGGAGGCTCTGGGCACAGAAAAAAGCTCCCTGGTCTTTCAGCTGGAGCGTCTGGAACAGCAGCTGAAGAACGCTCAGGGTGGACAGAGTGGAGGGCCAACAATCAACATGAGCGGTCTAGAGGGACCAGGTAGGAGAGGTTTAGATGAGGGTCAAGATGTTTTGTCATTTTTAAGGGACAGTGATATGGATTTACAGGATAGTTTCAATAAAAATAACAGGGCTGCCATTTTTAATACTAATACTAATATACATTATAATTATAATACTATTTACATTTTCAATACTTTTATGAGGCCACAGCAAACAGGATAGATTAGTTAGTTAGAAAGCATTTGATAAATCAGACTTTTACAGAAGTTTTATGGACCACAGTCATCTTTATCTCCCAGTCTGTTTAATATAGATGCCAAAACAATGGAATATACCAACACACACGCACACTCAAAATGTGCTTTTGTTTTGTCATTCTGTGTTTTATTTGGCTTAATAGTTAATCAGATACAGTCCCCTAGTTACTTCTTTACTCATGGTGTCTTTTTCTGTTTGTTGTATTTTCAGGGGCACGACAAAGAAACACACCGATCCTTTTCAGCGATCAGGACAGTCCAGGAGTGTATGGCAAAGTACGCAAGGCCGCCAGCACCATTGATCGTTTCAGGTAAGGGTATTTGTCCTCACTATTACTGCACTGTAATAATTCCACTGTTTCTGTTGTTTCTGTTTGATCCCCTGTGACAAAAGGAACATTTTGTAATTTCAGCATCAGACTGGGTATCTTCCTGAGGCGCTACCCTATGGCCAGAGTTTTTGTTATCCTGTACATGGTGAGTGTTGAAAAATGGGATGCAGTTTTTTCCCATCTTGATAAATCAAAGAAATAAACAACATTTCAATTTCTTTTCACAGGCAGTGCTGCACCTGTGGGTCATGATTGTTCTCCTGACTTACACACCAGAAATGCACCACGGTCATCCTGATGGAAGATAGAAGGCTTGAATTTTACAGTTGGTTGTTAAAAGATGTTTGTTCTACGGCCTTCAATGTAAGGATGGTCCATGCTGCTAGAATATGGGCTCTGGGTCCTGACTCTCCCTGTTTTGCACAGAAATGCTATAAATTAAAGACATTTCCTCTGATTTATTCTTTATTTTTTCCAACTGAAGTATAATAGCTGACAACTGCATTGAGTTTTAAAATAATTTCAGAGTGATATATTGTATTGGTGGTTTACTGAAAGGACATTAAATCAAACATGATCTCACATCTGTTCTTCTCATCATGTGCTTTCAGACCTCTGTTCTCTTGAGAGATTATATATAACACTATGTAAAAAAAGAATCTTTTAATAAACGA